TTACGTGAAAAGTCGTTAGTGAAAAAAATGAAATAATTACATTCTTCCCTGGTTCCACTTCCTCCATAACGTAAAATGCAGCTGCAAAATCAACAAATTTTTCTGGTAGCCTGTGAAAATACCCCATCAGTTTCCCATACGATTATATCCTAAGGGATGCTTATTTGAACTCGCATTGGCAAAAATAAACCAGCTATGATTCGTGGTTGACTACAGAAACGATTAGGTTTCACGAAACACATTAAAGTCGATATCTGCGCTGACTCCTATTCCCAGGTGCTACTTGAAGCTGGCACAAGAAGCTTTTAGAAGATACCATTCTTAACAACCAGCTCAGATATTATCTCGAAACACTTGGTGGGGGAAGAAGCTTCGTGGAATCCTAAAAAAAAAAACAGATTATTTGAGGTTTAAATCATCTAAAACTTGTTTTAGTAATAATTATCTGACCTTTCATAATACGCCAATTAACATTGAAACTACCAAGAAAACAGTGATACCAACTATTGAAGCTTTCACAGTGAGGTTTTAAAAAAATCTTCCAAAAAAATTCAAAGTCTGACATACATGGACAATAGTAGCATGTAAAAACTTAACGTCTAGATCTTAAGGATAGCAAAGTTGAAACTTTTTTTATTTCTATCAGCTTCAGTATCAATAAGCTTATACTCTATACAGCTTTAGATAAAAACAACACCAACAAATTTTGTTTTTCTAACGTTACGAAGTGTAAGAGGTTGAGTTGTTAAAACATCTTCTCAAATAAAATAGTTTCTCGATCTGATTACAGCCATGTTTCAATGATAAATAAAACGTGAAAGTCTTCCATATGTATTATATTCGAAAACCCTCACACTTGTAACGGACAGTTTTAATTACCGCCCTAGATTGCTTCTTCAGCTACATCCACTGTTTTGCTTCTGGCCCCAGAAAAATAAAAGAACACATACATTTTCGGGCCATAAGTGTAGATTCTCTAGCAAACGCGTGTTTTCAAATAAAAAAAACTGAACAAAATCTTTCAATTGCGCGCCTTTATTGGTCAATTTGCCCTACAAAAGGGTTTGGAGTTCTGGTTCGAATAATTTGTGACATCAACGAGTGTTTTCGGACTAGTTCTATTAACATAGAGATGATGTCTTCGGGAGCAAGCCTACTACTCGTATCGATGCGGTTCCAATACTGGATCAATTGATAACCGTATTTTGTCGTTTTGACAGCCTGTTTAACAGAGCTTCTACGACTGTCGAAAGTGTCGTTCGAAATCAGCGTTTTGGCTCCTATGTATTTCCGAAATTTGAGGCACCAGTTTCGCTTTCAGCAATTTTACTGTTCATCAACTTTACTTCAAACATGTCTCCAAGAGTCAAATTTCTTAGTTCTGGTTTGTTTTACGAGTGTGTATATCAAAAAGATTACAAATAAATGATCGCATTAACTTTTGATTTACCAAGATTGGGAAAAATAGAGTTGCTTCGGCAACATACTCCCGGGACCCGAATTGTCTGGAACGGCGCGAAAGTTGTTGCAAAAAAAAAGACCTTAACAAGACCGGTGGCGGGACAATTGAACGTACCGTAAGCCGTTCTCACGGTCACCACTCGTGTTGTGCCATCTCTTCCTGGACGTTCCTCCACCACATGTCCAATCGGCCATATACCTCGCGGTGTGAGGTCTTTGAGTACCCACACTATGTCTCCAACCTTCAATGGTGCCTGCATTTCATTCCACTTAGGGCGTTTCTTTAGTTGATATAGGAAACTCCTTCAACCGCTTCCACAGGTGGTTCATCATCTGTTGAGCGTATGTCCATCTCTTTTAAGTCAGTGACATGCTGTCGTCGCTTACACCTGGTGGAAGGCTGCTGAATGGTCTTTGAATGAGAAATTCATTTGGTGTCAGTGGCTCGTCAATTTCTGGGTAGTCAGTTACAATTCTCAGGGGTCTCGAAGTGAGCATCATTTCGATTTCGGGAAAAATTGTCTGAAAAACATCAAGTAAAAGCTTTAGCGATCCAAGAATGATGAGGATTGTTCTCTTGGCAATCTGAATTAAGCGTTCTAACCACCACTGAATTGAGAGCCAGATGGCGGATTGAAGAACCATTGGATGTTCTGTCGTTGCAGTTTGAAAGAGCAGGCTCTATTGTCAACCAATTTGAGGGCGTGTTTTAGTTCTTTGGAGGCTCCAAAGAACGTTCTTCCGTTATCGCTGGTAAGCGTTATCTGAGTTCTCCGTCTAGCTGTAAACCGACCTATTGCATTCATAAGTGAATCAGTGGTCAGATTTGGACAGCTTACAAAATGAACTTCTCTAGTTGCAAGACAAGTAAAAATAATCTCGATTATTTTTCTATGTCTGTTTTGTTTTCAATGTAGAAGGGGCCAAAAAATCTACTCCAGTATTTGCGAGAAGACGAAATTCGTCGGGGTATCGTTTAAGTGGTAATGATGGGCTGCCGATTGTCTGCTTTGTATCGTCGACACAGAAAACGGTGATGAGCGATTGAACGAAGAACTTGTATCACAATGACGTGGTAGCGCTGCTGCAAGAACGATTTGACGAACTCTTGTTTTTGATGCAGACTAAACTGCTGCTCAAGCTGCAGATAGAGTTTAATAGTGGAATGAGCTGCTGTTAGGATCAGCGGGTGACGTGAATCATTTTCCATTGTTTGGGCAAGTTCGAGTCTACTGCGCGAACTAGACCAAAAAGATCCATACCTAGATTTTTTTGGTCTGGGTATGGATTAAGTTGAATCAGTTTGTTCTTCGCATATAGGCGTCGCTGCTCTTGTAGATGTTTGATCGTTTCACTTTAAGATTCTCGCTGTCCTTATATGATGATATAACTTCGCGTGCGTTCTATATCGTTACTAGTTGAAGGTTGTCGTTCAGTTCGATGTTTGCCGTTGCAGTCTTGTCGTTTGCCCATGATGATTTTTACTTGTACAAAAAATGAAAACTGCGGCGATGGTGAACAAAAATTTGTTCCACGAGGGAAAACGACTGATGTCAAAGACTGGAGGCACCGAAAATGGTTGCTGAAATGCACACTGAAGCAATTATCGAGATGCTTTTAGTATCTGGTACAGGAGACTTCATTGGACATTGAGATGACTGCGACATCAGAAGGGATGCGGCTGCTAACCATTTTGATTCCATGTTGGTTGGTTTTAATCCTCTAGTGCCGTGATCAGCAGGGTTCAGATCAGTCGGTATATGGTACCAATTATTGTTTCTTTGCGTAACGTTCATTGCGGCTAGACTATTTGACACAAAACTTTTTTGTTTCTTCTTCTTGTTAATCCAGTCAGTTACAACTTAACTGTCTGTTCACATGTTTACAACAGGACCAACGTTAAGCTGAAATTGCACATTAGCAAAGGTGACAAGTAGAATTCCAATAGTTGCTGCTTAATTTTTTTAACACTCAGCTTCTTGATTGGAACTATTTTGCTGTTTGGTTTTTTTGTTTGGTTTTTTTATTGATATTCGACTCTAACGTATACGACTGCTGACATTCCTATCAAGGAAGCATCCGTGAACGTATGAAGTTGAACGCTATCCCCTGTTGTTATTTGCGGTTTGAAAAAAGTTCGAAAAAGACTAATTGATTTCATCGGCACAGAGTTTTGGCAGCTTTCGTAGTTCTTTTTGAATGTTATGGGTAGTTGTAAGTCCCAGTAATTGCCTTATTTACAAGTTGATTGCAAAATGTCTTTAAAGAAAATTGTCCCTGGTGCTAATATTCCCAGAGGATCAAAAATTGAGGTTACTAGTCGAAAAGCTTCCGTTTTGTATTTTCGTGCGCATCCCCCACTTATTCCTTTTGGAGGCTCCATGTAGAGGTTGTCTGTTGTCAAATCCATTTTTGTCCTGCTGGCAGAGGTATTTGCTTTTCCGAGGCTTGTAAACCGTTAAATACCTTAGTGATGTTCGATTCAAACTTGGTAAGTCTGGTTAGTTGTATTCGTTTTGTTGTAGGGCTGCTTTTGTGTGAAAGCGGACTCCAATGCGTCGTTGGGTGAAGATGTTGAGTGAATGTAGTCGTCCATGGAAAAATTCGTTTTGACAGATTCGAAGGCAAGCGGGAAATTTCCGCTGTTGTCTTTGACAACTTTTTGTAGAATGTAGATAGCACAAAAAGGAGAGCAAGTTGCTCCAAAGATGAGTTTTGAAAACTGGTAGTGTCTTACAACATTGTTGTGATTCCAGAGAAAACGTAGCGCGGAACGGTATTCTGCTTCTATGCTAATTTGCATAAACATTCCTCCAAAGTCAGCTAGTGTCGCAATACCAAATGCACGAAAACGTAGAAGGACGCCAGTAAGGTTTATAAGCAAATCTGGGCATGTTAGCAAATTGTAATTTAGAGAACGGCCTTTGAACTTGGAGGAAGCGCTCGCAACACACCTTACATTTCCCGGCTTTTTAGCATTTACAACCCCGTAGTTAAGCAGATACCACAATCTAGAAGGTACTTCCTTGGTAGAAACTGCTCGCTCCGAGTAAAATTTTTCTGCGTTTTTTAGATAGTTTGAGTTGCGGTATTTTTATTTTTCATTGCGAGCATATCTTCCTTCAGCTGTCGTAATTTTTCCGGAGTTATGCCGGAATTACGTTTTCAATTTTTATTTACTTCATCAAAGAGTTGGACATTTGGTTGTTCGATTTCCATTTCGCGATCTTCAACTTTAAACCAGCTTTGCCTTTAAATACGCAACATGGTTCCAAATGGACAAAACTTAAAACTCTCGCAAGCTCAATCCTCTTATAAGTCCTATATTTCTCGACTGAAAAACCTACTTGGAAGTTACTTTCAGGGGTTTAAATGCACCTGGAAGTTCTCAAAATGTTTCTATATTCAATGATTGGTAAAAAAGCAATCTGACGTTTAGTTTAGTTTTTTCGAAAACAATCAGATTTCTCAATTTGAATATATATCAGATTCGTTTAAGAGCTAATTCATCTTCGTTTAGAGAATAATTCTGAACAAAATTGGTTGCATAAAACATAAATATATTATCTGTTGGGATATGTACAGAATTACAAGAGTTGGAGCATTTCGGAAATGAAACAATAAATTTCCATCTAAAAATAAATACTTCGGCACCAAATTCTGATCAGAGGGTCTTTCTTGGAAATGATAATCACTTGAAATTTTACTTCACCAGTTCCACTAATCGGAAAAGTCATTTGGTATACAAAACATTTTTTTTCCTCAGTGACAAAAATGAACTAAGTTTTATGTGAGAGGTATTTGGTTTCTGAAGAATTTACGGCTAAAGTGAGAGTTCATAAACATATTGTAATTTGATTTCATATGATAGCAACGGCCACTAAGATTTAAAACTGTATAAACTATTACACACGCTAGCCCTGGTGTCTTAAAATCATTTCGAGAATATAAGAAAAAAACTTCATGAAAATACAGTAACAGAATAACAGTTCATGAACTTACAACTAACTTAGTTTCAATTACAACACTGACAATTAAAAGTACAAAGTAGCCCGTTTTTGAACTGAATTGAACAAGAATGAAAATACAGCTAAATATAGACAAACTACAACAATAAATCTCTCTAAAATAGTTCGAAGCCTTTTGAAATTTAGACGAGCAAGAAATTTGACGTTCTCAAAAGATTAAAACAAATGTGAATCATAACTTTCAACTTCGTGTCACGAGTAAAAAAACCATAATTAAAAAAACTACTCGACTGAAACAGGAATAGGCGTCGAAACATTATAGAGGTAGATTGACAAAAAACTAGCCAACCAATTTTGAAGACAGCTGCAAAAATTCGGACCAACTAATTTTTCTTACAAGTTTGAACCTTGAGACAGTTCAGCCTGAACAACAAGCTTTGTTTGCACCATTTCTCCGGAAAAAACAAATATTGCTCTTAAATATTTCTTTCAGTTGTTTTTTATACAACTTGTGGGCAATTTTTTAATAAACTTGTTGGCTCGAATTTTCGCAACTGTTTAGCTACAAAATTCAGTTCACATTGCAGAATAAGGTGCTGATCATGTTGTAACTGTTAGTCCTATTTGTTGAAGTATACTTGGCAGTGAGTTGAGGTCGATGGCTGCGAGTATGTTGTTCTCTGCATGGTGAAATAGAGGGAGCAGTAAAATGCCGGCCATTCCGAGTAGGAGGTAGGAGAAGTATTTGTAACATAGCTCCACCTCCCACTTGCGCTCAACCTAAAGAACAATTGTCTCAAAAAATGATTTTAAAACGCACGCGATTCAATTCAATACAAGTGAAAAATGACAACTTCATTTTTTGGCTAAATCGGGTCAGGGATTTTGGCAAACTTGATAATCAACCATATATTTTAGGTCAACCAATTGATTGTCTAAGCTCCCCTAAAACACCAAAGACTGACTGTTTTGTACAATGTTAGCTGCAGGCAGTTTTTCGGGAAAAAACATTTTGGGTACTTGTCAAAAAAAATTGATGAAACAATCCTGACTTTCAGCCTGGGTGCCCCCCTCAAAATTATCTAAAATGGGCATCTAAGTTAAATCCATTAATGGTGCCAAAATATGTTAAGGACCAGCGGGGGTCCTCGTTGGAGAGTATGGGTTTCGATTTCCAGAGGGGGGCGATTCCTTCACCCTTGATTTCATTTATGCATGTTCAAATATGCTATTCTTAGATTCACCTCAATTCTTCTGCTATTCTTTTTCTCTTTGCCTTCCGAATCCCTTTCACTCAAATTCTGTTTTAACAGAACACAGACACTGTTGAACACTGAGTATCGTATTACCAGTCTGAGGATGAAGACTAAAGGAAGTCCAACTGTCATTCTCAACATACTCCTTACAGGGCAGTCGAATAGAGAACACGGAGCTGACATCGGCTAAAAAAATTACTAAAAAGATTTAAAAACATAAGATCAATTGCACCGCACCCATCAAATCATTAAACACATAAGGCCCGAACATAAGCGTCATTTTCTCTTTTTAAGTGTCTTACTCAGAAGCGAAGCTGCGCTTCGCAAACACTAGCGCAAAAACGACAAAAAGCAGCTCTAATAAGTGCAATTCGGAAAAGTAGAAATTAGCTTTAAATAATTAAAATTCGGCGACGTCTCGGATTGGAACCTACAACCTACTGCGACCGAACGATTTTCAGTCTCTACCACTAACCACAAAGCCACGCACGCTTGATTACTCACAAACACTAGCCACAAATAAAGCAGAGAACAGATGCTATGTGCAATTTCCAATGCTACAAAGAAATTTCCACATAAGTGAACACTTTCAATGAACACTTTTATTTACAAGTTGAGCTAGAAAAAAGAAGTTTCTTACTAATACACTCAGGGGCGGCTCTAGGATTTTCTCGAGAGGGTGGCGTATTTTCAAAAAATTTATATTTTTTTAGATCGACCAAAATGATTTTCTGAGCGCTCCCATATCACTCTAAAGACCCCGTCGCAGGCATTTTTTGATAACAAAACTTGCCTAACAAGGCGTTTTTGGGCATTTTTTGGAAAATTTTGACCAATTGATTGCAACAAAACTTCAATACTTCAAACTGACTTAATTTTTGACTGCACCTAGTGAACGCATGTTCAATTAAATAGGTTAAGCTCACTGTTTTTGAGAAAGATTGCGTTTTAGAGGGAACACGCATCATTATTGAGGGCTGTTTTCGTTTTTAGCCGCTTAAATTGTTTTACGGAAAAGTTTTTTTAATCATGTTTTTTAAGTAGTACATGGAGAGCAAAAATGTTTGAATTTTGATAAGTATTCCACATATCAAAACTGATTACCATGGCCAACTGATAGCTGGAAAAGAATCAATGAACGCAAGTAAACAGACAAACAGCACTGACTCTGTTGAAAATTTCAAATATCGAAGAAAAAACAGATGCCCTTTAAACTCTTTGAATGTCTAGAACAATTTATAAAAATAAAAACTCTAAGACTTTTCCTGAAAAAAAAACATAAAAAATCATCAAGACCCATATTCAGGAAAATCACTTCCTTCTTTTACACTTAAGAAGAAAGAAGACA